TTTATCGACCTCCCTGTTATGCCTCGTAGGCTGAGGTTTACCGGGGAGGTCGATAAAGGGCTTTCATGTCGGCAGGGGAGCATCCAGACTAGTGCGCTGAGCCGACAAACAGCTGATCAGCTGTTTGTCGGCTCAGCGTGGCAGCCATGTAAATTTAAATGAAGCGGCGATCATTTAAATCGCTGCTTCATTTCCCTTTGCCCAATAAACAAATCTACATGGCTCCGTCGACGGAGCCATGTAGTGTAGACGTACCCTTAATCTACCCTGTTTCTAAAAAACACCAGTGATGGAGCGTTCATCTCCACTCTCAGGAACCTTTTCCAGTGCGTGGTGATCCTTGTAGTGAGAAAGGTTTTCCTGTTATCTAACTTAAAACTTAATTTGCTGCATTTTTTTCATCCGGTTATTTACACGCCCTAAGAGTAATTTCCTCTAGGCCCATATTTCACGAGGGTTGTTTTAGGTAAATGTCAATTGACACTGTGTCAAAAATCTTGTTAAAATCAAGATATATCATCTAGTGCTTCCCGCTTCCCCACCCCCATCCATGAAGTCTATAATACTGTCAAAGAATGGAAACAGGGTGGGTGCGATGTGATTTGTTCCTGACAATCAATGTGGGCTATTACTTCTTTCCCTCGTGTCCTTTAGGAGCTTACAAACTGTCTGTTTCATTATTTGTTCCAGGCATCCAAATGAGACTGACTGGTCTTATAATTGCCTGGTTCCACCCTGTTCCACTTTTTAAAGACAGCTATAATATTTGCCCTTCTCAATCCACCTGGGCAGCCGCCTAGCAGAGATTCAAACGCTGCCCAGCTGAATAGTACAACACCCACAGCTGGCAGCATGTGTTTCTATGGGTGGTGCACCACAAAATTTGGTGGTGGTGTGCATCACAACATTTATTATTTGCATAGATGGAAAAATAAGAGGAACCACTGCTCTGGACCCATATCTGCCCTCCTCAAATTCTCAATGATAATTGCTAGTGGTTCTGAGATTGCTTCAGGTAGTTGAGGGATGAACATAAAAATGGCCATACTGGGTCAGACCAAAGATCCATTTACACCAGTATCCTGTCTGCTAACAGTGGCCAATACCATATGCCCCAGAGGGAGGGAACACAACAGGTAATCGTCACATGATCCCTCTCCTGTCATCCATTTCCAGACAAACAGAGGCTAGGGACCCCATTCCTCCCCATCCTAGCTAATGGCCACTGATGGACCTAACCTCCATGAATCTATCTAGCTCTTTTTTGAACCCTGTTCAAGTCCTGGTCTTCACAACATCATCTGGCAAGGAGTTCCACAGGTTGACTGTGCACTGAGTGAAGAAAAACGTCCTTTTGGTTTTTTTTTAAACCTGCTGCCTATTAATTTCATCTGGTAACTCCTAGTTCTTATAGGCTTTGTCGACACTGCAAGTTTTCGCGGCAGAAAATATGCTAATGAGGGACTCATTAGCATGAGTAGCTATGTCATTAGCATATTTTCTGCCGTTTCTTTTTGAGCAAGGCGGTTTTGCATGAAACGAAGCAGTGTAGCCGCTTCTGTTTTGTGCAAACCTCCCTTTTTCCACAAGATCCTTAAGTCTCTCCAGGACAGGCGTAAGGATCTCGTCAAAACAGGAGGTTTGCACAAAACAGAAGTGGCTACACTGTTTCCTTTTGCACAAAAACCCCTTGTGCAAAAAGAAACGGCAGAAAATATGCTAATGACATCGCAACTCATGCTAATGAGCCCCTCATTAGCATATTCTCTGCCACAAAAACTCGCAGTGTAGACATAGCCATATTGTGGAAATAAATAGATAATTTTCCTTATTCACTTTTCCCACATCGGTCATGATTTTATAGACCTCCGTCATAGTCCTCCTTTGTCCTCTTTTCTAAGCTGAAAAGTCCAAGCCTTTTTTATCTCTCTTCGTATGGGACCCGTTCCAAACCCCTAATCTTTTTTGTTGCCTTCCTCTGAACCTTTTCCAATGCCAATACAATACAACAGTGGTGGATCGCTATTATTAGCCCTTGGTGTGCCACTATATTTATCTGTGCCTTCGTAGGTACAGGTGCAATTGCAGCTCCTATTGGCTGGAAACGGCAACCTATAGCCAATGGGAGCTGTGGTCCCTATAACTGCGGAGGTGCAAGGCTCACCAGGGGCTAACCCTGGTGGACCAGTTCTGGCCTGCGGCCGGTATTTGCCCACCCCTCAGCTATTCCTTAGAATGAATTTCATCCCGTTCTACAGACATGACTACATCTCACGTCTCTAAGAGCTCAATCTACACATCAAGAATTTCACCACTGATTTGCTTTGCTGAGGGGGCTGATAATCTCACTCGCAGGAACGGCCTTTCAAGCTCCCCGCACTACTTACTTGAATGATGGCCGCGTCGATGTTTGCTTGCAGGGCAACAAATCCTGAATCCAACGCAGTCATAACGGCACAAGTGACGTAATCCTCCTCCATGGCGTCAGAGCAGCTTTCTTTAGGAAAGGTTAAAAAAGAAAGCAGAATAGCATGGTGAGGGGTGGTCGTGGGAATATGTGACACAGATCCCCTTCCCCCCCCCCCCCCCCCCCCCCATTTAAACTGTACTCTGTGGCTGAAATCCTGACCCTACTGAAGCGAATGCCAAAAACCCCCGATTGACTTCAGTGGACTTCACCACTTGACTGAGTGTCATTCCCATCTCATGGATTTTTCAGGGCACATTATGCCTTGGTTGGGAAGAGTGCTAGTGCAACAGCTGGTGTGAACACACTCTACCAAAGCACCCTTCCAACAAGCAGGGAAACACTGTAACAACAGAGTGAAGCTAGGAGGACAGGGTACTAAGAGACACTACCAAAGCACCCTCACAATGGGCAGAAAAACACTGTAACAACAGGAAAAGACAGGGTGAAGCTAGGAGCTATCCATTCAGGTATGACCAGGTTGTAAAGATAGCACCGTACTCTTTCAATACCCAACACTGGCAGGTCCCAGACCATGTCTACACTATGGGCATGGCAGCCCAAAAACCCCCACACTGCTGAGAACTGTAGTTATGCTGACCTAACCCTTGATACAGAAACCGCTCGGTCAGTGGAAGAATGCTTCTGGCAACCGAACTTCCTTGGGTTGGGGAGGTGGAGTACATATAGTGAAAAAGCTTTTCCCTTGTTGTGGACTGATGGGATATGATAGAGGTCTCTAAAAACCATGAGTGGTATGGAGAAAGCGAATAAAGAAGAGTAATTTACTCCTTCCCATACCACAAGAACTAGGGGTCATCAAATGAAATTAATAGTTAGCAACAGAAGGAAGTATTTCTTCACACAATGCACAGTCAACCTGTGGAACTCCTTGCCAGAGGATGTTGTAAAGTTCAGAACTTTAACAGGGTTCAAAAAAGAGCTAGATAAGTTCATGGAGGAGAGATCCATCAATGGCTATTAGCCAAGACAGGCCGGAATGGTATCCCTAACCCAGGGGCAGATAAAAGGTTCTCTGCGGGCCGGATCTGGCCCATCAAGCAGGTTGATCTGGCATGCAAAAGTCATGCCGCTCACCTTCCTCCAAGCCAATCAGGAGTAAAAGGAGCAGAGATTGTGCAACCAGCTGCCCTTGCCAGAGGGCTTACAGAACACTGGGCTTGTGAGGCAGTTCCTATGTAGAACTGGTCAAAAAATTTCCAAGTGATTTTTTTTTCAGGCAGAAAATATCTATTTGTTCAACTTAAAACATTGCAGGGAAAACGTGTCCTTTTTGAGAAAATATCATTGAGGGGGTGGAAAAGTGCTTCAATAAGGTGGAAAGAACATTTTGAGGTTTCATATTGAAGTGACTTTCTCTCTAAATATTTTTGTCACTTTATTTCTATTTGATATTATACCAGTCACGATATTCAGGATTGCTAAACCCAGACGCAAACCTGGTCAGAACATAAATTATCAATGAGCAAGCCAACGACCAGGCAAAAGGGGACTTATCAAGTCTTAACACCAATTATTTTCTATTCTAAATTAAAAATAAAAATTCATTGCAAAAAGAAATAACTGAAAAGAATTCTTGAAAGTTTAAATGGAAACAAAACATTTCAAATGAGCCAAGACAATTCCTCCCCCAAATTCTGTTTTGTGAGAAATGTTGGAATTTCAGCATTTATGTATTTATTTTCTTTCAATATCAGAATTTCTCACGGGACCAAATTCAGAGTCCCAGACAGCTCTGTTCCTGCTAGATGGGGGTGGGAGGTGAGGTCAGGTGGGATGGGGACCAAAGAGGCCTGCTGCACCAGGTCACAGTGATTCTGGGCACCACTAAGGGGCCCCACCCCTTCCACTCTCGGCCTCACCCCTTTTGTTGGTGTGGAGCGACTCCCCCACCATTTTGCCCCGGGACCTGCAGTGGCTGTTGACTCCACCGATTCCTGTGTATTCTGAGTGGCTGTTGGAACTTTGACCAAGTTGTCTACTTCTGTAAATGCTGGTGGTCAAAGTCACCCAGCCATTTGTTCCTAATAGATAGATTACTCATACACTTGAATCAGTATCAGAAAATAGTTGGTTGGTTGAACACTAATTTTATACCTAGACACATTTTAATTTCACTTATACCTATATACTTTGTGATTAGATTGAAAGATTAAAAATATTGACATCCACAGCTATTTCTGTGAAATGGGAAAAATCACCTGAATGATGGTTCATGTTGTCCGTTTGTAAATGGAATGTAGAATCATCCGGGGAGGATAACTCATAAGAGAAATCATCCTTAAAGTTAACTTCTATAAGATTAAAAAATGTCGTATCATTTATTTCCAGCTCTGATGATTCTTCAGTCTTTTCAAAAATACGTATACCTGTTATTTTTAAGAAAAATAAATGCATGTGTGTATAACTCCCATCTACCAAAGCATCACATGACTTTATCACTTTTAGGGTGAGCAACATAAACCAATAAAACTGGAGAAGCACAGATACACTTTTTTCTAATGTCAAGTGCATGTCAAAAGTATGCGTTTGGAACTTTGAGACAGCATTTCATCCAAGAGAGAAGTGAAAAATATAGAGCAACTGATTAAAAACAGAAGAAGAGAAAGCCAGGGTGGGGGGGCAACATATTACGAAAAATGAATATAGACAGCCTTACACCAGTGCAGTAAGAAAGAGCAACCCTAAGGCTGCTCTCTAAAAACACACAACAAAACACCAGGTCAATAGCAACGCAGACTGGCCATCAGAACTGGAGCACCATAACTGGTACTCCCACATACTCTCTTCTGCACTGAGTGAAGCATGGCCACAAGCGAGAATCTGGCCCCTGCTATTCATTAGCACCACCCAGGTGGACTGTCCGTGGCATCTTCCAGCATTAGAGATTCATATCTAACGAATGCAGGTCAAACCTCTCTAGTCCAGAACTTTCACGTCTGGAAACATCCATCGTCCAGAATGATGTTAGTTAGCTGGATGTCCACTTTTCATGGGTGTGGCCAAGTTTCCTACAGTCCCACATAGTTTGTTTACAGCCACCAGTCCTGGCTTTCAGGGTTCTGTGCTGTTATTTAGTTCTAATGTACTCCTAACTGTCCTCTAACAGACCAGTAAGCAGGGGAAGTGTTGGTAATGCTGCTAGACAATATGGACTTCCCATGGTCCAGAAAATTCTCAGGTTTGGAACTGGACAGGTCCTGAGGGTGATGGACTAGAAAGGTTCATTCTGTATTCAAGTGCAAGCAAAAATACAAATTTAAAAAAGTCTCACGACACATAGGAGATGTGTGACGGTTCACCCCTCCCCCATGCTTCATGAAATTGACTTATGGATATAAATATACATAACTCAAAGGTGCTTTGAGCAAATTACTTCATGTAACCTATCAATCTTCATGCCTTAATCCACTAGATCTGTTTATCTTATTTCGGCGTATGTAGCATTCTTGTGTGTAACACTAGATATGTAGAGTAGGGAATATTTTATGTGTTTTAAATATGTTAATGAAGGCAGCCGCAGTGTCTATGCCTGTGTTTCCCAACTGGGATTCCGCGGAACTCTGGGGTTCCACAGACCATCATCAGGGGTTCTGCTAGAAATCGTGGACTAAATAAATAAAATTTGTTTTTCTTATAATATAAGCTGACACACACACACACACACACACACATATAAATAAAACAGCTCTTTACAAATAAATTTTCTTGACAATAATTTAGCAGTAATTGAGTTGCGCTCCCCGTTGTCAACTTTCTTTTTCTGGCCAAGCAAATGTTTTCATAGGCAAGGGTTCCTCGGAATATGAAAAATTATTTTTGGGCTTCCTCCATGGGGAAAAAGGTTGGGAATCACTGCTCTAGGCAATCCTATGCAAATAGCCTTTTGTCCTCAAGACTTAGTACAGCCGGTCCCCGAGTTACGAACGGTCGATTTACAACCATTCACATTTATGACCAAACCTCCCATTAAGCGGTTGTAAAGGCGGTTTCTGAGTTACGAACGCGACCTACGCTTACGAACAGCGCAGTTGCAATGTAACTCAATGGGGTCCGACTTACGAACATTTTGAGTTACGGCCAAGTGTTTGGTCCGTAACCCATTCGTAACTTGGGGACCGGCTGTACTGGTTGGTAGGGACAGGCCCGGTGACTCCCCATGCAATAAGGGAATCTTTAAAAACAATAGGAAAGTAGGAGTGTTTTGGTCTTTGGCTGGCACATCCAAGGGAGGGAAACCAAGACCCTAGGGGGAGGGACAGCCCTAGTTTTGAAGGCTTTGCTGGAAAGGAAACAGTTTTGGGGGGAGTTTGTAATGAGTTTGTACGCTGAGGTTTCAGTGAGTTAGCTAAGTGCATTCTGTTATTTTGAATTTGTAACCTACTATGCTCAGCCTGTTTTCACTTATTGCCACTTAAATCCTACTGCTTGTACTTAATAAAAATCACTTTTATTTTCTATCCGATCCAATGTAAATAATTATTAGCTGGGGAGCAATTGGTGTGTACATTCCTCCTTTCATTGTCAAAGGGGGCTTACCTAAATAATTCATTTTCCTTGGACCTGAAGTATTTTAGTGTCTGCACTGCTTGTAAGAGGAGCATTCATCTCAGCTTTGTGCCTTGGCTGGGAGAGACCAGGAAGCTGGCTCAGCAGGCCCAGGTGGTGAGTAGCCCCAGAGAACAAGAAGGGGAGTGGCAGTGGCTTTGCCAGACCTCCAGGGGGCACCCCAAAGGGTCTCCTGTAACCTCACCCCGTCACAAGATGTAAAATACACAACAGCATAATAAAGTGAAGCAAGAACGCACCCTTCATAAAAGAATCCGAAGCCACATGCTGCATTATTTGTCTGGTCGTGTGTGTCACTGGAGTATACTGAAGTCCATAGCTGGAAGCATGAATCTTATCGACACGCCCAAAGTCGTGGGAAGGTACTGAAAACTGTGGCATGTACCAACCACTCGTTATATTCAGATACAATAAGAGGGGTATCACTAACGAGAGGACCAATTCCTAGGGAGCAAACAAACAAAAACGATTGAAGCAAATTATGCACAATTATGCACCCGTGCAAATCAACTGACCAGCCTGTAGGAGGGGCTTATTCCATGACAGAGTTTTGCCATGCACTTTGGGAGAGCAGGTGTCACTCCAGTGTGGGGGCGTCACCAGGCCCTGCACCCCCATCCACAGCCAGATGCAACTGTCAGCCAGCAGGTAGAACAGGTCTATTAGTCGACAGGGACACAGCATAGAACTAACTTACCAGCGCAGTAACCAGAAGCAGCCAGTACAATCCATATTGGGGAGAGGGCCCCCCAAGCTAGGACCCTCGCTCCCCTCTTGCGCCCCAAACCCACCCAGTTCCAGGCCCCCTCTCCGGCCTTTGTCCTGCTTCCTGGGCAAAAGGTGTCACCTGGTCACATACCCCCTTCTGGGCTCCAGTTATAAAGGGCATCAGCCACTGTGTAAAGGTGGGAGGTTGTCACATCTGAAATTCCCACCCCCATCTAGGTACTGGTGCAGTGCCCCGAGAAACTGAGGTGACTAGAGGAGAGTAGAAATCACATGCAGCATAACAAAGGTGAATAAAATCCCCTCAGCGTCACAGCAGGCCCTGACTCTGTCCTTCCCTACATGCCCATTCTCTAGGCAAACGCCACACTGTGGCCATGTGATGGAGCCTGCCGCCATGGCTCAGGGGCCTCCCTCCTGTCGAAAAGTCACAGCATCTAGAATGGCCATTTCTGACTCTTCTCAGGTACTTTGGGAACCGTTGATGAGTGACCAGGCCGTCCCAGCGGATTCCCTCACAGTCACCACCCCCATTAGCCACCCCCATTCCCATAAGGCCAAAGATATTATAGAGTGAGGGGCAAGCTAGGCTAGTGAGCGGGCTGCAGGAGTGGCCGTCCTCCATCTTGGTGGGTGGCAAAATTGTCCTCACCCAGACGGCCTCCTGGGCATTTGTGCACCTAAAATTTGGGGGAGGGGAATTCACCCTTAGCAGCACCGTGATTGGCTGCAGAGGGAGCGCATGGCTCTCACAATGTTGTATGCATTCAGCATGCACCTGGCTTAGAATCATAGAATCCCAGGGCTGGAAGAGACTTCAGGAGTCAGCGAGTCCAGCCCCCTGCCCAGAGCAGGACCAACCCCAATGAAATCATCCCAGCCAGGGCTTTGTCAAGCCGGGACTTAAACACCTCTAGGGATGGAGATTCCACCCCTCCCTAGGGAACCCATCCCAGTGCTTCACCACCCTCCTAGGGAAACAGTTTTTCCTAATATCCAACCTAGACCTCCCCCATGCTTCCTATGCCCTTGCTCCGTATGCATGTCACTTTAATAATATCCGGAGGGGGAACGCCCCACGTGGACTGAAACCTGCAGAATCTGGCAACCCAGTGGATGGGGAACAGTAAACAACGTGTCTCACGGGCCACACGCAGAACCCTCTTGGGCCCCAGGAGCCCCACTGACCACACAATGCCACTGATTTTTCTATCCTTAGAGTCGAAATGACCTCCCGAGCCGAGCCTCCACCAGGAGATGATGGGAGGTCAAATGACTTGGTCAAATGCGTCCTCTCGGCTTGAGGGCGCCTTTCTGGTTCTTTCAGTCTCCTACAAGTGTCACGTTCACCGACTTTTTTTTTTAAAGCCGATGAGAGCCTGGTAACGGGACAATCACAACAGCCAATGAAAGACAAAGAGCCCTGAGAGTGGTCACTAGCAACTGAAGAGCGAGAGCTGCCCTTTGTCTTCATGGCATTGGGTCATCTTGTAGGCCACGTGTGAACCGCACACCTTCTGGGGAGAGTGTACCGTCCAGTGGCACCGAGATCACGTACAGAGAGAATACAGGTTGTACTTCCCTTAACAGAGACTCTCTGGTCTGGCAACATCAAAGGTCCAGCAAGACCACAGATGCTCCTGGACCACAGGTGTAGGGAGGTCTGGCTGTAGGGCAGGGGTGGAGGTGGGGGACTCAGCTGGGAGCTCTGTGTCTGGGGGGGATGTGGCACAGTGGCGAGTTCTGGCCCCAGCAGCTGGGCAGTAATAGGGGGCTGGGGAGTTCCAGCCCCGGTGACAGCCAGGTACCTCTGGCCCCAGCAGCAGTGGGGCCAGTGGCAGCCAGGAAGCAGTGAAGTTGGGCTGGAGCTCTAGCCAGGGGGCAGAGTTCAACAGGGGCCATAAGGGAAGGGACCTCCCCTGATCTGGAAAATCCCTTCATTCAGGAACAGTCGGGTCCTGAGGGTGCCGGACCAGGGAGGTCCAACCTGTAAGAAGACTGCTCTGCAGCCAGCTGCCTTTTAGCTCATGCAGTAGAGGCTCTGGTACTAAGTCCCAGAGGTCGCAGGTTCGATCCCACCTGTCGGCGTTCCACATGCAGAATCTCAGACCTAGGTCACTAAAGGCATTTAGGCACCTGAGTCCCACAGAACAGTGCAAGCCAGATATATCAATACCTTTGGTCATCTTGGCCTCTGTGTGGGAATGGGAACATAAAATTTCTAAGACCTTCCCAGCATGCAGCTGTACCTTGGCCATTGTGTCATGCATAAGGATGTTCTACCCTTATGGCTTGCTGCGGAAGAGTGGGCAGGACTTAATTTTGCCTCTGACCTGCCCTCTCTAGGACAGAGGTGGGCTGATCTGCTAGTGTTAGCTCCTGATGGGCCCCCAGCACTATATTTACCTGCAAAGCCACAGGTACTGGCAATTGCAGCTCCTGCTGGCCGTGGATCACCGTTCCCACCAACGGGAGCTGCTGGAAGTGGTGTCCCATTCCGTGCTACTGCCCTCTGCTCCCTTTGGCCGGAATAATGATCCATGGCCAATGGGAGCTGAGATCGCGGGTACCTGCCGTCATGCAGGTAAATACAGCGGTGGCTTGCCAGTGACTGCTGCCATGTTATTGCCCATCCCTGCTCTAGGAGGTGCGGTCTGGCTCTGTGACAGCTGCCTGATGTACCAATTCCCCAGTGGA